ACGAGCACAACGGCAGAAAACTCTTCCGCTGAGTGGTGGGAGTCCGACATGATATGTAAAGCTGAGACAGGCTGGATCAGATTAAAACCAGCAAGATCAGTATCGCGAGATCGACGACATCAGCAACATGGACGCGCCGCAGATCAGGCACGATTAGGCCCCGTGGAGCGTGGCAATACGTAACAACGCATTTCGCTCGTGGCGTGCATAGCTTTCACACAAGACCCTGATTTCCCTGAAAATACGAATTATTCCTCAATCATTAAGGGTCTGTGAATATTTCATTTCCACAAAAATATATGTGAAAGTTTGCGAACAGGCCATTAATGTGATTAAGAACAGTCACGACAGACCAACATCACGCGAGGGGCGTGAAGGGTGACTGGGGTACCGGAGTGAACGGGCGCTAGGAGAATGCAAGCGAGATTGAGAGATTAGGAGATGAGAGGGATGAGAGGGCCAAGCAAGGGATAGGAAGTAGGCGGGCCTAGTGGATGTGGGCGGTTTGAGAGAGGTGGCAGGATCCGAGGATCCGAGGATCAAGGCCTGGATCGCGTGGTCCGAGGATCGCCATTCACCATGCCGCCAACGCAACGCCAAGAGCGAGATTGACGCACGCAGAGAGACCTGGCATTTGCGCGTGCCTGTCGCCCATCTCGCCCATCTCGCGCCTCTGAACCTCTTGGTGTTCTTTGTACGTATGTTAATGACACACGATCAACGTCAGCACTGAGGGCCTCAATCGCCTTGAGCCACGCACGCGCCTAATACCCGTGATAGCCACGCGAGACCAGAAAGGCGCGTCAAACGGTGGGTGGGCAGTCCAAGTCGGCTGATCGGCCCGTCCAATCGCACGAATGAGAACAGGAGCAGGTACAGGCGGACAGGCGGACAGCCATGTCCGCGTCCAATCGGCTGGCTGCGTGCCTCAAGCCTCAAGTGTCATATCCCATGCCTCCCTACCCACGCGACGCGATGACGACAACTCCCTCTCACTTCCGCAATCCCCCTTCCCGACGATTAAGCAACTCTTCACATTTCATCCGCCATCAGTTTTGTACGAAGCCTCAGATTCTAAGCACGCAAGGCATGCCAAAGAAAGGGTGGGGGGAGGGAGGGGAGGGGCAGGGGAGGGTAAAGAACACTCCGTCAGATCTTGTATCGTTGTCGTGTGATCATTAGGTGAGATGGTGGGGAAACAAGTCGCTTAGAGAAGCTTGTTCTCTGTTCAATGTCAGCAAGAACATCACGTCACGCGAGCCCTGGCGCTACTCACCGTTGAAGGCCGAGCTGGCGTTGGGGTTGAAGCCAGTGGTCTGGCCAGTCGTGCCAAAGGCGTTGTCAGTGGCCGAGCCGTAAGTCGACGAGGGGACAGTCGTAGCCGAGGTGCCACCGAGGCCCGACGAGCCGCCAACACGCGACGAGCCAAAAGTCGACGACGACGTCGTGGAGCTCGAAGTTGAGCTAAAGGTGGGGCCGGGACGGTTAATGTTCACAGCAAGGCGGCGGAGAACATTAAAGTAGAGGACCTCGGCACCACGAGTGGTGGGGAGGAAGACTTACGCGTCAGCGTAGGCTCTCTAAAATTGCTCCAGGTCGCCCAAACTTACGCCAGACAATAAAGACGCTCTTGAACACAAAGTAGAAGGGAACCCAGTAGAGGATGGCGCGGAGTGCGACCGACTCGATGAGGTTAAAGGTACCGTAGACAATCTGTTTGCGTTAGTCACGCGACCTGCATTTGTGCATTTGCAGCATCAGTACAAAGCAACTCACCCAGTAAGTAAGCCACTGCTTGTCGTCGTTGGTGCTGGGGCTCTCGAGGGCCTTGATCGAGAGGTAAGCGGGAAGACCCCAGCCGATAAGGTTGGAGACGGGCTGGGCAAGGCCAAAGAGGTTGAAGAAGATGAGAATGACAGCGCTGTCGTCAGCATCTTGACACAAGTGGCAGTCAAGGAACGAAGACTCACACTCCACCGAGACCGAGGACGCCGTAGGCCTTGGGGACCTTGGTCTTTGCCTCAACGTCCCTCAGAACGGGGTACTTGTTGAGCTCTGCATCGAGCTGGTTGACCTGGCCCTGGAGAGCACGGCTCGCCTGCTGGACGTAGGGGTGGTTGACAAAGTTGTTCTTAATCTGTTGCGACTGAGGGGTAGCCATCTATAAGAGGTAGTCAGCATCAGTTTGTCGGGGATTGCAAGGCCGTTTCGGTAGCCCCTCGCCGTGGGAAGCGGGGCGATGTGCTGGATCGTGGTGGAAGGGGCTGCACTCTTGTCAAGAGGAGCGACTTACTGTGAATGATTAACACTGTGAGTGGTGTAGAGAGTAGTTGTTGAGAGAAGAGGGGATTGACAAGTCTAGTTAAGAGACGAGGATGGAAGAGTGGATGGATGGATGAAGAGTGTGATGATGAAAGAGGCGAGAGATGAAAGGAGGAGGGGGTAGGTGGGATGGATGGATGATGATGATGTAGGGGCTTGGGCAGGGAAGGGTGGGAGGAAGGAAGGGAGGGGCGGGTAAGGAAAGGATTGATTTGGTGCTTGCTGGAAAGATGACGCTGCACTTTGCTTTTGCATTGGATCGGGGGCCTCGTTGACCGCCAGCCCCGCTAGCCGCTAGCCCGCCATGCCCATGCCCATGCCCGCCAGCCTCGAGCTTTTGAGCTGTGAGATTTGCCTTGCCTTGCCGCACTTGACTCGAGCAGCACTACTTCTTCAAATCCAGGGTTTGCTTGTGCGCTGCATGCGCTACAACAGCTGGGGCTATGAGCTGAGCTACTGGGCAATCGGGCCTCGCTCGCACCGGTGATCGTTTGGTCGCCTCTGGCGGTTGATTTGATTTTGCATCGGCGCAACACGTCTTGCTGGCTCGCTGACATGGCTCTAGGCTCTGTAGGATCTCTGGCATGCACGGTATGGTATGACGAAAGAGCAAGACGATTGCAGGGTTGAATGCGTGCGTTTGCAGGTCATACAGGTCATACAGGTCACACAGGTCATGGGCACGTCACTCTCGACACACAGACGGCAGCCAGAGACACGGTCGATAATCGACGTCATGCCGCACCCAGGTATCTCTTATTTCCGCCTCCGACCAATCTTGTGGCACCCGAGGTCGATCTCCCACTCCACGCGAGTAGCACGCTACACATCCCGGACATAATATTTGTTTGGTCCCTCCCCTTGAGATTATTTTTACGGGTGCATTTCTCCTCCGCATGCTGGATCCTTGACCTGTTTCGGATCCAGGTGGGGGATGAGGCTATAACAACAGCAGCGTGCCTAACATTGTCCAAGGACCCATCAAGGTCTGTATTCAGTGCAAGACTTTGGCCCTAGGTGTTTAGGTGAGAGAATTGACGGCGCGCCTTTAGTCTGGTGCACGGTCCTAATGATCCTAATGAGAACGGGTTGAAGGGAGAGTGAGATGCCCATACGCCAGGAGATAAAGTCATGAAGCCAACAGGGGCTCTTGCCATTAGGGCCAGGGTGGTGGCCGAGACGCGTGCAATTACAATTGCATTCTGATACACACTCCTGTACTCTACATGCACCCCACCCTTGTGCGCTAGTTTGCTTCAAGCTCGGCCAACTCGGCTTGCACGCTGCACGCTGCACGCTGCGCGTTGCACGCTCAATGCATCCAACACGCGTTTCTCCTTTTATCATTCTCCATCCCACATTCGTGTATCCTTACTCGCCACCGGTTGCTGCTGACTGTTTACGACTCCCATACTCCGTCCGGGCTACGTGTCCAGCTGTCCGTGCCGTATCCTCGCGCCGTCCACAGATCCACAGATCCACAGACACCACGGACGCACTCCACAAACAGCTACTTGACATCCCCCTCCACCCATCTCCCAATCTCCCGGCGGCGACTGTAACTGCACTCCCACCGTCCTCCCACCAGCCACCAGCCACCAGCCACCTCCTCACTCTCGCTACCCCCACCTTCGTCTACCCTCCTCCTTGCTCCACATCTCTCCACATCTCACTTCCCCCCCCCCCCCCCCCCCCCCCCCC